GCCACCATGCCCAGCTGAATTTTTGTATTTTTAGTAGAGACGGGGTTTCACCATGTTTACCAGGATGGTCTCGATCTCTTGACCTCAGGATCCACCCGCCTCGGCCTCCCAAAGTGCTGGGATTACAGGCGTGAGCCACCATGCCTAGCCACTTATTGACTTTTGTCAGATTTGGTACAATCTCCCTCTTATTAGCTCTCATAACACCACATAACATTTCTTTATACTGCTCATCAGAGTTGCAATTTTACATCCATTTGGGTGATTATTTGATTAATGTCTATTTCTCCCACTAGACTATAAGCTCTTCTTTTTTTATATCTTACTTTTCCTATCGTTACTGACTAACCTTGCCCTGCCTACCTCTCTTCTTCATAGGTTGCCACAGCTTCTACCAATTAACGGCTTACTCTGTCTCACAGATTCTGCTAATAAGCTTTTCTCTATGTCTTTCAATTTCTACTTCTACTATCAACTAAATTTTACTATTATCCTCTCTAAATTTTTCACATCCATGCTGTAATAGCAAGAAGATCTGGTTTGTAACTTATATTTATTATCTCTTTTTCAAAACTCCTATGACAGACCAACATATGGCTTCCTTGCTAACACCCAAGTGGACTGCATTTGGGTCAAAGGCATCCTCCATTCATTGTCTGTGGTCAGGCTAGAGGGGCTGAGATGTCGGCTTCCCTAAAAAAGAACAATAAGCTGGATGCTTTCTCCATCACAGCCTGCCTGCTGGGAGCTGGCAGAGTTGGGGAGGGATCATCCTTGAGAACTGGAGTTAGGAAAAAGAAAGTAACAGAAAACAAGCATGGACAATTGGGACATTTAGCATCCTACTCCTTAAAATATGTTCCACTCAACTAAATCTCCATTTCTCCACATATACTGTGTTGTTAACACAATTAAGATGTCACAGAAGTCGCTTTAGGCCTGATGAGCAAAGGAAAACTTAAAGGAATATTTGAACTATTTTGGGAGTGATAGAGTCTAGTGAAAACATGTCAGATGTGTGGGTAAAGAAAGTGATCTTTGGGAGCCTGTCTACCCCTGGTTCACCTTCACTCCTTGGACGCAGCCCTTCAGGACCTCTACCTAAAGTGAAGGGGGCACTAGACTCCACCCTAGCGATATCCTACCCTGGTGATACCCTATCCAACCACTCACAACATGAGCCCATCAAGCATTTTCTCAGCCTTCAACTCTCAACTTCCTCTACTAAAAAAAATGTTTGATACAATTATAATCCAAACAGCTGGCAGAAATGAGAGTTTTATTGATCAGAAGAACCAATGACCACCATCCCTTACTTACCTCGGCAGAGCATTATAGTGTAGGAGCTAACAACACAGATTCTAGAGTCTCTGATTCTAGAATTCAATTCTGGCATGGCCACCTACCAACTATGTAAATTTGAGTAAGTTACTTGGCTTCTCCTTATGTATAACATAGGATTACATTTCTTAATACCAATTTGGCTGTTGTGAGGACTAAATCTATAAATGTCAAGAGCTTATAACAGTGGTGACATCACATATGGGTGAGCTATAATTATTGCTATTGATATTATTATTGTGAGTGTTGATATTATTATTGTCTTTTAGAGGCTGCCTGATCCAATTAGTAGCTGCCACCTGGATTACTCAGGACAAAGGAAATGTATTGGATCACACACAGCAGGGAAGTCCAAAAAAAAATGGTCTGGGTTAGGCACACGTGGACCCAAAGGTTCAGATGATGCTATCAGGACTCTCAGTGTCCTGCACAGTGGCTTCTATCTGAGTCAATATCATTCTTAAGCAGGCTTCCTCCAGGTGAGGACAAAGATGTACTTTGAGAATTACCTCATGCTTACACTTCTTCCTCAAAGAAAGTGTAAGCTCAAAGACTTCCTCAAAGTCTTTCCTAAAAGAAAGGCTCAAATAGTCCCTGGTTATGTTCCATCATCAAACCAATAATCAGGGGGATGAAGTATTACAACTGATCAAGGCTGGCCATCACACTACCTTGTAGAAAAGAGGAAAGGCAAGGCCAACCCTACTCAAACAGTATGGTTCTCTGGAGGAGGATGCTGAGTGGAAGACGCCCCCCCCCCAACTGCTCAACCCTTTGTCAAGGCACAATCTGGGGCTGTTTCTCTAAGAAGGGACCAGATGACTGTGAATGACATGTTTACTGAAATGTTTACCCTATTTCCATCTGAAGAGTAACAAACACCCACGAGTGATGTTCAAAGTATTGAATAACCTCTAGAGCAGAATCTCCAACCAGTTGTCTGAACGTCTCACCACTTTGAATGGAGGTCCACTAAAGACAACCAGTGAGATGTAAGACCGTAGAGGCACATTCCTGCCGAACAGCAATTCTGCATCAAATGCAAACTTTGGGCTGATTTCTAGGGGACTTAAATGTTTCATCCTATTCAATCTAACTGAGCAAATACTATCTAGCTTGGCTGGCTTACCCACCTACTTTGAAGCAGGACCCGAGTAGACAGTCATCTTCAGGATGGGACTTTCTGCTCTTTCATTTACTTTGTCATCTCACGTGCATGAACTCTGCACTGGACACACACTTAGGACACAGGATACAAGGTTTAGAGCTGAAGCACCAATAACCTTGACATAGACCCATGTATGTACTTTGCTTGTCCTTCTATTTTGGGCCAATTCTATCCTTCTCTCTGGCTTGCGAAAGCTGGGGTCCCCCCTTTCCTCCCTTCTCTTAGTCCACCACCAAATGCCTCAAAAAACAGGCCTGGTCTCAGCAAGACTTGTCTGTCTATGAATGTGCTATCCCTACAAATTCTGATTGGATGAAGGATCCTTTGATTAGAGATTTAAATGAGGGGCAATTTAATAAGCCAATTCAGCTTAGCTAAAAGCATCTACCAATGTTTGGTATAAGGTGTGGGGTGGGGGGGAAGTAGTTATGTTACTTCTTATCACACTCCCTTCTCTTCAGTTGATGTTTTTAAGTACACAGAAGTACAAAATACGTACCTCCCCTGCCTCCCACCAGCTCTCCAGTATAGCCTGCTTTCAGTTGCTTGCAGCACCTCGTAGCACCATCCCCCTCTCTTCCTGTCTTCCAGGCTCAAGGCAGTGCCTGGGCATCAGTGCCCACAACTACCCCGTAGGAGATATCTCCCCACCCTACTTCCTCCTCCCAGCTAGTGCTGCTGCCTGCAGAAAGACTTAGAGATGCTTGTCAAGTTGATCTTTACTTCCCTCTTTCTAGTGGGAATTGATGGATTTCATGCCTGTCTCTTTTCAGGGCTGCAGAAAGTACAGCAACTTGCGAAAAACACAAGATACTTCAGACAAAGACTGCAGGAAATGGGATTCATTATCTATGGCAATGAGAATGCTTCTGTTGTTCCTCTGCTTCTTTACATGCCTGGTAAAGTAGCGTAAGTACCCAAGGCATCTCAGAATCACACCTAAACACAAGGTGACCTAAGATGGCTTTCTGACACAGGCATTAGATTACGCATTTAGAATGGGGTGATTGAGTTTAGAATTCAATCGTACAGCTTCTCAGAAGCCACCTACCAGCCCGTCAGCTAGACCTTTCCCACAGGTCTTATAGAAGGGGAACCAGATCCTAAGACTGGCCTCTCTCCCTAAATTCAAGCTCTGTTAATTTAGGGAAATCACTTATCTCCTCAGCCTCAACTATAAATTAAGCACAATCCTGAACCTCCTTCTGACCCAAGATCTTTCTCAGTGAGAACATCAGAAGATCATCTCTCCCCATATTCCATAAAAACAACGGCCGGGCGCGGTGGCTCAAGCCTGTAATCCCAGCACTTTGGGAGGCCGAGGCGGGTGGATCACGAGGTCAAGAGATCAAGACCATCCTGGTCAACATGGTGAAACCCCGTCTCTACTAAAAATACAAAAAATTAGCTGGGCATGGTGGTGCGTGCCTGTAGTCCCAGCTACTCAGGAGGCTGAGGCAGGAGAGTTGCCTGAACCCAGGAGGCAGAGGTTGTGGTGAGCCAAGATCGCGCCATTGCACTCTAGCCTGGGTAACGAGAGAAACTCCATCTCAAAAAAAAAAAAAAAACAATGTGATCAGGCCCTGTGTTTTCTCCCATTGAACTTCACGCCATCTTAGGAAGAGGACATTCTCATTTCAAGCATGGGGAAGCTGAGGCTGACTGCAGTTAACCTGCCCAAAGTCATACAAGTCAAACGGCAGTAAAAGTAAGATGCAAAAAACCCAAACTGAGGCTTAGATTGAAGCTCATGCTCAGTTTCTCATGCCCTTACTCTAAACCTGTTTTTGGGTTGTTTTCTTGATTGCAACTTTGAAACTGAGCATTAGCAACAATTGCATAAAGAGGAAAACATGACTTTTTGTCAGTTTGGTGGGGACAGTTTTACACATGAACCCTTTTCCAACCTGCTAGAGACTAATTACCTCTGTTATTAAAAGGAAGTTAACTGGCAGAGGACGGTGGCTCATGCCTGTAATCCCATCACTTTGGGAGACTGAGGCAGGTGAATCACCTAAAGTTAGGAGTTCAAGACCAGCCTGGCCAACATGGAGAAACTCTGTTTCTACTAAAAACACAAAAATTAGCTGGGCATGGTGATGCATACCTATAGTCCTAGCTACTAAGAAGCCTGAGGCAGGAGGATCACTTGAACCCAGGAGGCAGAAGTTGCAGTGAGCTGAGACTGTGTCACTGCACTCCATCCTGGGTGACTGGGTGACAGAATGAGACCCTGTCTTAGAAAAAAAAAAATGAAGTCAACTAAAATCCTTTCTAAAGGTAAAATGTTTATTTATGTCTCTGACCAAGCACATGATGGAAATTCATATTCAACATACTATGCATCAGATTTTAGAGGTCCTAACTCCCCTCCAATGTAACCCATTGCTAGAACTTTCTGTTTGACTCTCTAATCACCTGACTAGATTGGCAGAGGATTTGAAGTATAGAAAAGTACCAATAAAAGAGGTTTGGGGCTTACTCGTGAAAAGTCATGGAGGGCAAGACTGAGTTTATAAGTTCCTAAAAGACTGATTCATCAGAGTATGCTCTGGGGTCATTTTACCACAGCAAAATCACAAGCAGTTAAAACACACATGAGTTTTTTAGCATGCCACATCATTTGCACCAGTTGGCCCTTTGTTCACAGATCTGGGTCAGGAAAACAAACCATGAAGTGTCCGAGATCATGTGCTACAGAAATGGTGTACATCACACTGCCCTCTGATAATGTCAAGGAGTGGTGACAATGGTGATTGAAAGTTGCAGATAATCCAAAGACTTTAAACCATCTGATTTTTGAAAGTACACACACACACACACACACATTCAAAATGATTAGGGAAATGGTATGTGTTAGAAGAAATGTTCCAAACTTAGCTCAGTTTATCTAATATTGTATCATTAGCTCGAAAGAAGGCACTGAAAATAAACTTGTTCAAGGTATAAAACACATAATTCTGGAGTATTCCAGTGACAGTAGGAAGTGTTCTGGATAGTTCCAACTTTAATGATAAAAGCCAGAATTAGAATCCCTACAGGTTGGAAAAATGAACCAACCCGAAGAGAAGGATCCATAAGTAGTGAAAACAAATGCATGTAACTTCAAGAATTCATATAACATGCTAGGTACAATATGCTTCATATAAAAGTTATGTTCTATGGCGTGGGGAAAGGTTTGGAATAAAAACTCTTCCTAGCTGGGGGTTCTTGAACAAGTTACTTAGCTTTCTAAAGCTCCAGTTTTCTCATTTATAAAATAGGATATAGTATCTATTTCATAAGGTTACTGTGAAGATTAAACAAGATGATGTCTGTACAAGAATTGGCATGTTACCTCTTATATAAGAGCTATTAAGTGTTAGCTGTCATTATTAATAGCATTAAGTCATTGATAATAATAATGGCATTTTTAATAATGCTAATAATGTATACAAAGCACTTAATAGAGTACTTGGCATACCACAAGCATTCAATCAGTGGTAGCCATTTTACTACTACTCTGCAACAATGATGATCATTATCAGTTTCAACTGAGTGCCAGGTTGAGTCACCATGGTTGCATGGCTCTCCAAAATAATTATTGCAATTCTTGATTGCATTACTAAAAAGAAAACATCCAGAAAAAAAAGTAGGTAAAGATCCTGCTATACTCTGCTTCCATATTGCTATATAGACACTGGATAATATGTCAAACCATCCTGTTGCTTTTAACTTAAGATTGTTTTTTAAGAAGAGCTAATATCACAGAATGCTGAATATATGCTAAGTGAGGCTTTGCAATCTCAGTGATTGCCCATGGAGGGTAGGATGTTTAGCGTAGTTTATAAATGAAGATGCTGAGACTTAACAAAGGTCAAATTACTTTCTAAGGCCGGATGCGGGGGCTCACGCCTCCCAACAGTTTGGTAGGCCAAGGCAGGTGGATCACTTGAGGTTAGGAGTTCAAAACCTGCCTGGCCAACATTGTGAAACCCCGTCTGTACTAAAAATAAAAAAATAAAAATTAGCTGGGTATGGTGGCAGACACATGTACTCCCAGCTGCTTGGGAGACTGAGGCAGGAGAATTGCTTCAACCTGGGAGGTGGAGGTTACAGTGAACTGAGATCACGCCACTGCACTCCAGCCTGGGCAACAAGAGTGAAACTTTGTCTCAAAAAAAAATTACTCTCTAAGACTCACACAGGTTATAGGCACCAGAGCCCAGAATTCAAAGCCCGTTCCATTTGCTTCATAAACTAGAGCTCTTTCAAACACACAGCACAACTCCCAAGCTTTAGTTCATAGGAAAAAAATGCTCATTAAAGCAATGCAGAGCATAAATTTCCTTATGTTTAATATCATCATTGGTGATTCAAAAGGCAACAACCACTACAAACAGAAAAAAAAATCTGTTTGGGTCACCTAAGGAAACAGAACAGGTTAGTTACAAAAGGTAGTATCACCTATTACTGGCAGGAGTTGCTGGCAAGAGCTTGCCCTGCTGTCTGGCTTTACTTCCTTCTGTAATATTTCTTTGTTGGAAGTTTATATGTAGAGACATTTTTAAAATAGGGAGTTAATTGTATAAGCCAGTGTGGAAGCACTTCTTTCATTTGGTCATTTAAAAACCTTTGATTTTATTAAAGAATGATGATCTCTCCACATGTCCTCTTAATGCAGAATGAAAACATAGTCTGTAGCCAGTTATCCTTTTGAACAAAGCCTTGTTATAACTCTACCACTGGAATCTTCTACAGAGCTGTGTAATTTAATTTCACCCATAAAGCATACATTTAAATAACCAAGAATGTATTGTATTTGGTACTTGGTAAAGGGTTTGTTCATGTAATACACTTGGAAGATGGTGGTATACAAGACGTAGTGATTCTGTATACAATGCAATGCTAATGTTTATTTTTATTATTATTTCACATAGTTTATTTTAACCTATTGCCAATTGCTTTGGGGAGTACAAACAGAGGCTCATGATATAAAATTTCCAGCGCAATCATATATATTAAGAACACTAGCTTTAGTAGTGTAAGATTTAAATTCAAAAGTGCTCCAGGGAGACGCCAGATTAGGCTAATGAATCAACAGAGTCACATATTTTGCTCCGCATTCTTTGGCAAAATGTGCTTCCTTTGGTACAAAGAGAATCATGCAGACAGTGAAAGCGGTCTTCTGGGAGTCCCAAATACTGGCCTGAGATTATGGGTCAGTTGGTTTGTACTCTAGCGATAAAAGCACTTGACTTGTTTCTCAGACAATTATGAGCTCTCATTCTGTACAGCTCTGTGGGCAGCCTTCCATAGGGTGATCAAGAAAGAGAAAGAACAGCCTCTGTTTTCAAGCTTTCTCAGCTAGAAAGCTTCATCTCCTTCTAACCTTCCTAGTTGAAATCAAAGGGTTAATCTTGCCTCGCTCAAGCCAGGGGGGCAGAAAGGCTGTGTGTCCTGTAGGTCTTGCAGTCTCTATTGCTTCATCTAATAACCTGTGTTCTGTCTGAAGCAACCAAAAGGCAAACTGCTCAACAGCAAAACAAGTGAATGGAGGAGCAGGCTTACTCTCCACATCTGGTTTAAGAATTCTTCCTGAGCTATGATTGGAAGTTTTCTCTGGTGCTGTCAGCTTCCAGCCTAAAATAATATACCAGCAATCTCTTAATGCTAAGAAAAGATCTGAGGCATTTACCTCACTTATGGGTAAAGTCATTCAGTAATTAAATTTTCCTGCAAAGACTAACAGAGCCCAAAGGGGGAAAAGAGTCACTTGGGAGTACATGCCTTTTTATCTGACCTTCACTCTCAGCACAAGATATTTACTGCTTTTGAGCTTAATATTCTAGAATTGTTACTTAGAATAGCTCTGGAAAAGAAAGGAAACTAGAAGGATGAAGGGAAGGAATCATAGCTTACCAAGGTTTTACCCTGCATCAAACAGCTGTCTCGTTCTGTGACTTATGTCCTATATATAGGCTGTAAAGTTCTCTGTGTGAACATTTCTTCCCTGGTCTCCCTTCTGCCTCATTCCTCTTAAACCCAGTCACTGAGTGTATTATCCCTGTGCATCCCTGGGTATGTTCATTCACATATGAAACAATCTGGGGACCTTCCTATTTCTTATCTCTGATTTGATGGAAAATAGAATCTTTGGCCCTGCAGTGAGTAAACTGGCTTGGGGTTGGATACAACAGACCCTCTGATTCTGGTCTTCACATTATACTCACTAAGTATAGACTCCTTGAAATTTCCACATTATATTATTTGTATTAAGTTTTTAAAACACATACCCTTACAACTAATATAGATTCTTTCTTTATGGACTTGCATTATAGAAACTGTTTTATACCTAGGGATCCTGCGGATGGATTTCGTATCACTGCAGATTTGTTAAACCAGTGTAATAAACATCAGCATTTTCTGCTTGGTGTCAGAGACTCAATATCCACAATTATCTAATGAGTGTGTCAGACCCATAATACCACATACATCATTATGAGAGGCACCAAGTGACTGGCTGCACATTTATTTGTCAATTGTATTTGACAGAAGTTTAACAACTTCAATCATCTTCTATTTATAATCATAAAAAAGAAAAAAAGTCAATTAGCCATATTCCTTTTTTGTCAGGATAATTTTGTCTTTTCTCAATTAACCACTTTTTTTTCTTTCTTTCTTAAGGGCTTTTGCAAGGCATATGTTGCAAGAGAAGAAAATCGGGGTGGTGGTCGTGGGATTTCCAGCCACTCCCCTCGCAGAAGCTCGGGCTCGGTTTTGTGTTTCAGCGGCACATACTCGGGAGATGTTAGACACGGTGAGTACACCACAGGCCAACAGGATCTCAGTAACAGTACCTTGGATTCAAAGCAAGTCCTTTTATTGAGACAGCTTGGGGTTCTCTGGGTTTCCCTTGGGTGATTTAGGAAAACAACACTGGCGAAAGTCACTGCTGATAAACAAGGGCACGTCAACAACAGCCAACGCTGTGACCACTCAGTGGATAGAAAAGAAAATCCATTTAGCAAAGATTTCAACAGTATTTTGGTTTCCTAGAAAAGACTGACAGAGTAGCTCTATATTGTGCTATTTACTTGATCTTAAATGCAAAAGCTGATCTAAAACACTGTTTTAGACTTAATTATGTGTATCCTGACATTTTTCATAGCCACAAAATCTGCCATAATAAAATAGGACGCAAGTAAGCAACATGTTGGAAAACCAACAACAAGAACAAATCTACATTACAGAAGCCACACCTAAGTGAAGCGGAAATGAGTTTAAAACTGCCTTTTATTGTCCCTTGATTTCCATTTTTATATGAATGAGTAATATCAGAGAACTAAGCCATCTAATCAGTTTGGAGTTAATGGGAAGAGTTACGTAACATAAATGTAGTTTTGCAAACACTATTGAGAGTCAACTATGTGCAAACTTGGGGCAAAAAGTATAGAAGAAGATACTAATAAATGAATAACACATAATACCAGACAAAGTAAATTCATCTTGAAAAAGAAATGTAGAGAACTGTGGGAGCATGAAGGTGGGAGTGAATTATTATAGTGAAGAAGATTGACAGGGGAGGTGGCTTTTGAACCAGGCCTTTTTTATAAAGATTATGGAGCATCATTCAAGGCTTCCAATCAGTAGAGTGACATAATCATGTCATTATGAAATAAATGTGATGAATTGGAAAGGGACAAAAGGAAAGGACCTAAAATGGAGCTATTTGAACGAAACAAGAGATGACAAGGCTAATGGTAGTAGAAACAAAAGAAACGAATCTATGAAAAAATATTACAAATGAATGGATGTGCCATGACTTGACAAGTGATTGAATGCAGCGCATATGTGGGGAGAGAGAGAATCAAAGACAATTTGAGGTCTTTAGCCCTGGAGAACAGAAGGATGGTGAAGCACTTAAATGAGAGAAGGTACAAGAAACAACAAATTTTCAATAGGAGTAGGGGAATAGAATGAGCTCAGTTCTAGACATGTTGAGACTATATGTCCACGGGCCACCTATAGAAGAAAAATAAGATTCTAGAGCTTAGGAGAATATGTAAAGCTGGAGCTGCTATAGTTGAGGGAACTGGGGGATCATTACAGCCAAAAGTAGAGGATGTAATTGTCCAGATACGAGCAAGAATGAACAGGGCAGACTCCTAGGGAGTGCCTACATTCCAGGGAAGATACAGGAATCACAGGTGGGGACCCACACTTACATAGAGCTAGAGCAGTCAGGAAAGACATATTCAGTGTAGTATTAAAGTCCATAGAGAGGAGAAAGTTTTAACGAGGTGGAGGGTCAAAATGCCCCTGAAAACTACAGGAAGTTTCAATGCAGTGAGGGAAGAGAAGAAAATATTGGATTAGCAATTAGTAGAAGCTTGATGTTGCATAGAATAGGCATTTTAAGGGAATGAATGGAAAAGAAAGAATAAAAGAGTGAAGAGTCTAAAATTATACACATACACATGTGCACACACACACAAACAGGGCTGTGTTTTTCATCTTCACAAGGATAACCTCAAAATGTAAACCAGTGTACTGTACACAGTAGGTACACAGTAAAAATTATTGAGTAGTATGTTAACAACTGAGCTAACCAGATTTTGAGATGAGTGAACTTTGTTTTCTTTTCTTTTTTCTTTTTTTCTTTTTTGAGATGGAGTCTCACTCTGTTGCCCAGGCCGAAGTGCAGTGGTGCGATCTCAGCTCACTGCAACCTCCGTCTCCCGGGTTTAAACAATTCTCCTTTCTCAGCCTCCCAAGTAGCTGGGACTACAGGCATGCACCACCACACCCAGTTAATTTTGGGATTTTTTGTTTTGTTTTGTTTTTGAGATGGAGTCTCGCTCTATCTCCCAGGCTGGAGTGCAGTGGCACGATCTTGGCTCATTACAACCTTCACCTCACAGATTCAAGCGATTCTCTTGCTTTAGCTTCCTAAGTAGCTAGGATTACAGGCATGCACCACCACACCCAGCTATTTTTTTGTATTTTTAGTAAAGATGGGGTTTCACTGTGTTAGCCAGGACAGTCTCGATCTCCTAACCTCATGATCTACCCGCCTCAGCCTCCCAAAGTGCTGGGATTATAGGAGTGAGCCACCACGCCCAGCCTAATTTTTGTATTTTTAGTAGAAACAGGGTTTTACCATGTTGGCTAGGATGGTCTCAATCTCTTGACCTCGTGATCCACCTGCCTTTGCCTCCCAAAGTGCCGGGACTACAGGCGTGAGCCACCGCACCCAGCCAACTTTATTTTCTTTACATCCTTCTCTATTTCCCAGGTTCTCTAAAATGAGTATGTATTTCCAGAATGGGAAATTTAATGAATTGTTTCTTTTAAATGAAATGAGTTGGTGGTGAGAAAAGGCAGGCAAAACTTTCAAGAAGTCTAACTGTACAAAGAGAAATAGGTTTAGATAATACCCTTTAAAATGGAGAAAACTTGAGCATGTTTACACATTAAGGGAAGAAGAGAGTGAAGAGGGGATCTTGCACAGAAGGGAGAGAAGAGAACGTGGCCAGGAAGCAAGTTCCCTGAGATGTCTAGGAGGACAGACAGTGTGAGTGAATTTGTAATTTTGTGCTCCAAGCAGCACTGAGGTGTTCATGTATAATGATTCTCTTCACAAGTTCTTAATTGCTGCAAAATACCTGCTTTGAAAGGATACTGAGACATCATCTAGACAAGTACCTCTAAACTTTTGAGATCATGCACATATCTCAACAAAAAATTTTAAGCAGTTCCTTAATGTACATATAAGAGAAAGTCAAAACTGACCCTGATGAACAGCTAGTACAGCAAGGTAGCAACTGGACCTAAAGGCCATAGACTAGAAACAATGTTAGATAAATGCGCTCCACAACCACATTTGGACAAGTCAGAGACAAGCCCATTCCACGGTACTTAATGTCTCCCTCTCCTAACTGGCATGTGTCACAGTTGCTCCTTTACCAGCAACAACTCTACCCTCACTTTAATTCTCTCACCTTGCAGATAGAAATTATAAACATATAGCTTGCCAGAAGTCCTACTTCCTGGCAGCATCCAACCCAGAACCTGTCCCTGCTTCCTTAGAGTCATCTCAGGCACAAGCCCAAATGCAGTGAGAAGCCTCTCCCATCTTCCTGTCACTAAGATGCCCATGGTTCTCCTGCAGTGTCCTCCCTCTCTTATCCCAACAAGCTAAAGAAACCTAACTTTGAGCATGAATGTGTTCTGGGTTGTCTTTGATCAGCGGAGATTAACATAGATTCTTTGTAAATGATCTATGCATTACCAATATATATGTACATTATATAAGAGACACAAAAGTTTAAAAGGTTGAGATAAAAATGAATAGAGGCCAGGTGTGGTGGTTCACACTTTTAATCCCAGCATTTTGTAAGGCTGAGGTGGGCAGATCACCTGAGGTCAGGAGTTCAAGACCAGCCTGGCCAACATGGTGAAACCCCATCTCTACTGAAAATACAAAAATTAGCTGGACATGGTGGCATGCCTGTAATCCCAGCTACTCAAGAGGTTGAGGCAGGAGAATCACTTGAACCCAGGAGGCAGAGGTTGCAGGGAGCCAAGATCGCGCCACTGTACTCCAGCCTGGGCAACAGAGTGAGAATGTCTCAAAAAAAAAAAAAAAAAAAAAAAAAAAAAAAAAAAAAAAAAAGGAACTAGAATAGAAATTCTAATGTTTTTCCCTCTCATCCTCCATAAATTATCTCACAGATACCACACATGTGCAAGTCCTTCACTTTGGAAACCACTGAAGTATTCCATCCCCCATCTTCAGCAAAGATTGACAGAAACTATCCCAGAGAGGGGTCATTTTAAAGATAGCTTTGGTCACTTTTTTCTAGCACTGAGATTTGAGGTAGGAAATTTAGAAAAACAGGGAAGAACATTTTAAATACACTCCTACCACCAAGAAATCAATTACCCTTAACATGTTGGAGGAAACCTTAATTAATATCAGTTTGAAAGATTTCCCAAAGAGGAAAGTCCATGAGACCCATTAGTCACACTTTCTAACATTAACCACCCTCACTTTACCTTTTTCAAAGCATTAGACCCTAATATTATCTTCCTCCTCATTTGGCAGGTTAAGAAAAACAGGCTCAGAAAGGTTAAAAAGGCATGACGAATACCATAGGATTAGTGATATACTAGAATCAAAAATGACCTTTTTTCACTTTCTGTATCTCAGATGTTTCATGTGTAAAATAAAGGATACACGTACCCCCCTCCTGTAAGAGAGTTGAAACAGACAAGTTCTCAGTCCCTGTGAGTTAAGTTCTAGTATTTTATGGGACATAGAGATGACTATTTAAAAGCAGGGGACCTGGGGTAGCATAAGAGGACAGAGGATGATGCTGATCAGCTCCCACAACATTCCACATTATTCTTGGCCAGGTGGGTTGTTGTGTCATGAAGACATATAACTTCACGTGCATTCTGCAACCTTATCCTTTTCTTCCACAAGATCACATATAAGTCATTACATTTTAAAGACTTTAAGGGTAAGCATGGTCACATGTTTTTATTCTTCTCTTCACACTCTCAAAATAAACATTCATAGTGTGGAGTTAGACCATTAAATAAAATGAATTAGCATCTAACATTTCTCTAGGGTCTTAAACCACAACCTAATGCTACGGATCTTGCTTCTTTTCTTTAAAATCAAAGAAGCTAGCAAAATAAGACTGTGTGTCTTTGTGAGGCTTGCTATTAACCTGGGCTCTGCAAAGCAGGGCTACTCAGGTGTTCAATGATAGCTATTGGAAAGTTATCTCATTGCAGGTTTTGGAAGCTCTTGATGAAATGGGTGATCTCCTGCAACTGAAATATTCCCGGCACAAGAAGTCAGCACGTCCTGAACTCTATGATGAGACCAGCTTTGAACTCGAAGATTAAGTTTCCTGGTCCTAAATGACACATAAAGACTTTGCGAGAAAGACCTCCCTCCTTGCCTCACAAGGAATACAAATGGATTTCTCCCCCTTCCTCAGGACAATTTTGGTTCCCAGACTGGCTTGATTGAACTGAAGGAGACATTGTTGTTTTTAATGTTTCCAACTCGGACTGCAGAGACAAAAATACAATTCCAGATTTAAGTCTCTCTTCCTCCAAGCATTCTACTAAAATACACACACACACACACACACACACACACTTCTGAGAATATTTTTAATGGCAGTGAGCCTGTGTTTTAGCTGCTACTGTGCAGCCTCTTTGGTTCAGACCCTTTCAGGGATTCCAACCAAATGCAAATGAGAGGATTTAAAATTTTCATTCAGTATGTTCACTATGTGTTTACTTATTCCATCTGCAGATGTGACTGAGTATAGTGGACAGTAACCATCTTCCTTGTTCCACTCATAAAAGTATCAGCTAGAACTCATCTGTATCATGGGACGTTCCAGGCAGGAGGGTAAAGAAATGTTTCTACCATTTGTCACATTTGGACGTTTTTTACAGACAAGTGTCAAAAGACATAGTTAATGTTTTGCGGGGGAGAGCAGAACTGGCCAACTGTGACTAGAGATGTCTTTGAAGGAAATTTTTCTTTTCCTCTTGCTGATCTCCTACAGTTTTACAGCTGAGCTTTTGAGGTTTGGAAAATTCAAGATGTTTGTTTCAGGAGAAAGGGAAAAGTAAGCACAAGCCACTTTTAGGCCTACACTAAAATGGTAGTTACAATGACTTGAACCTTGTTGGTGCAGGGCACAGTGAATGCTTAGCCTGCATAGCCTCTATCACCTTAAGGAATTAGTTGTCATTTTCCTATTGAATTTTGAGTAAATGGTGAGATTCAAGGTCCTTTAGAATTGACTCCAAAGACCATACTTGAAGAAAGTATTGACTCAAGAAGGACATTTAAAAGCAAACACTGACTTTTACAAGACCCTTGTTTAGGCCTATTAAATTGTACTATCACTTGTTACATGCACTCTGAATTGAGAGAAAGTGGGCTTGCACACTTCAAAGCAACTAACTGTAATTTACTTGTGTTCTCTCTTTCTCACTCTTTTCTTCTCAACACGAACAGGAACTTCTATGGAAAAGTAGCCCTTTGTTAATCTGATCTAGTTTGTATGGAAAAAGCCCGTGGAGAACCTTATCTTTAACAAGCACCCAGATGGTGCCCAGATCTGGAAACTAGAAAGAGCAGTGGTGACCTTTCAGCAAAGCTTCTGTAACAGTTCGAATGAGTTGCAGAGCATTCCACTCCATCAAATGACACTGTAAACAAATCACTTCAAGAGAGGCTTGGCTTTGTGTGGCACAGATTGACCCATGCTTTCATGCTGTGCACTGAGATAGAAACTCCATCCGCAGCGCCTGTGATGGATGGAGCAACGTGTCCTGATGCTCGAATCTTATTAAAGGAAAAAAAGTGATCAGCATGGAAAGTTTTTATGGGGAAATAATAACCCCAACTGGGTGCATTGGTTTAAAAATGGATCACAATGATAGAGCTCTTCATGAACATTTACAAGTTGTAAGGAGTACTGTTAGTGAAAGAGGAAAAGAAGTGGGTTCTGAAAATGCAGTTTCCCATCCAATGATTTTGATTACAAAATTCCAACTCTTCTCAGTGAAATTGGTGCAGCTTTATTTGTGCAAAGAAAATGTGTCATAAATGTGAATGCCTTGAGTTCTATAAAGGAAACAGGAGGTCAAAAAGACAGAGAGACATCTAGTCCTTCCACAAGGTATTGCAAGCAATAAACAGCTTCCTTCCTTTCTGGATTTGTCTGTGATCTTCACACACACCTTCACAGCTACCCTTCAAGTTTTAAGCCCCTAGACAAGTGTCTTCATGAGCAGGAATGTCCACTATTATTACTTTCATGGAGGAGGTTGGGTCTAATTCATCATGGGAAACTACTTACACACCCAGTATGGAGGGCAGGGAGGAAGTTAGTGTCTTTTCATCAAGATCCAAGGGTGAAGGGGCAATTTATTATACTGCAATGAGTGAGACAAAAGGACCTATTTCTGTCAGAGAGTCCATGTTGAATATGCAGGTGTAAGAACAACTATAATCTCAGTAGAATGCTTCCAGGGTGCATTAGAAGGTGCCCAGGCTCCATAGGGCCAATAATATTAGAGTATATGTCATATAGAATAAGGTTCATTAGAAGGGTGATTGTGAATAATGAGATTTTTAAATTTTTTAAGAAATAGCTCTCAAATGCTAGGCTAGCCTAGGCTAATAGGCCCATGATTTTAGTTCAATAGGATTATTGAGTCTTGATCACTATGTCAGAGCCAAAAATACCTCTTTGGCTCTAATAACAGGAACCTTATTCTGATTACCTTGTTGATAATCAAGTGTATTTATACTGGTAAAATTAATTTATTCCACAGCCAAACTTTTCGTTGGGACATTTTGTTCCCATTTTCCAAGTAACTTCTCTTTCTACAAAAATGGATCTAATATTTATGAACAATCTGCCATTCATTTGGGTAAAATTATTCCTTCTTCAATCTTCTGTATCATTCCCTAGAAAATGCCCATTTCCTTTTCATCACGTTGGCAAGATCTCGGCTCACTGCAACCTCTGCCTCTCAGGTTTAAGTGATTCTCCTGCCTCAGCCTCCTGAGTAGCTGGGATTACAGGAATGTGCCACCACCAAAAATACTAATTTTGTATTTTTAGTAGAGACAGGGTTTCTCCATGTTGGTCCATGTTTCTCCATGTTGGTCAGGTTGGTCTTGAACTCCTGACCCCAGGTAATCCTGCCACCTCCACCTCTCAAAGTGTTGGGATTACAGGCGTGAGCCACCGTACCCGGCCTGAGTGTGGTATCTTTCTTCTCTTTTCCTGCCCTTTAAAAAACAACCTTCAACCTCTGATTATTTATTTATTCCAACAACAGCTCTTCAGTAGGGTAAAAGTCTTAACAGTTCTTCAAACAAACAATACTCTTCTGTATTTTTCTTCAGAGATGGCAAATATTACAAATGGCTTACTCTGATTTAAAAACCTAAGTTATGATGATGATGGCACATTAACTCTTAAATATATGTTTTGATTTATAGCAATAATAACAGTTATAATACTAGCAACAAGAACAGCACCTGGTGAATTCTTGGCAATGTTCCATGGTCTCAAAAGAGTAAGAACAACATATTTGAAGTCTGTACTTCAGAATGCCCTACTTAACTGTGTAATGTTTAGAAAATCAAAAGGAGTCTATATTTTAAATATTTCTAGGCAATTATTGTGGGACATTGTCTTATGGTGTCATGATGTATGTGAGGTGTGCCTGTGTATGTGTGTGTGTGTGTGTGTGAGAAAGAGACAAAAATATAGGTATGATGTTTTACTGAAACATTTGAGATGACAAATTTCACTTTATTCTGCCTGTAAAATGTTAGTTTCTTCAATAAAAAATTACCAAAATTGACAAATAAAAATCATTGATGGTTTTCTGTTGATTAGGTTACCCTGGAAAAAAGACTGAGGTAGAGATTTGTATTTAGGAATTTCACTGGGAAAATTGGTAGGGGTGGCTGGAGCTGGTTTGCACTGTCATGAGAACCAATTGTGCACATTTCTTTCTAATTCTCCATTCAGTGACATCAGATTGGTAGCTTGAAATTGGCCACAATGGGAGTATTTACACCATGGAGACTGGCAAACACTACAAGTCAGGACTCTAGAGAGCTGGCTGTTAAACATTTACTAGCACACTACTGAAACCACCTACAATGATATAATACCCACCTAAGAGCAAGGGAACAGGATTGGAAAGAGGGAGAAGTTGATCTATGTTATCATAGCAAAGGCCTCAGCCAATTCCATGGAAACTGTGCAACTGAGATGATCCTTTAGGGTCAACTCAAATTGACAAGGATGCCAGATGCAAGCTATCAACAGAGGTGTGGGGCCAGGCATTACCTCGGGAAGAATAACTATTCAACTGACAGCAATGCTTGGGAAGGGACTCAGCTGTGATTTGCTATTTTTAAAATTACTTCTAATTGAAATAAAAAATGGTTTTTAAAAGTTTTATATCAGAAAATGTTTAACATACAGTAAAATAGAGTAGTATAATGAGCCCACACGCACCTATTACGTGGCTTCAAACATTATCAATTCATGGCCAATCTTTTCTTCTATTCCTCCACCCATTTTACTCCCTCTCTCACCAGATTACTTTGAAGCAAACCCCAGAAATTATATTTTCAGTAAACACTTTACTGAGTATCTCTAAAAGGGAGGGGTGTCTTAAATTATTCTTCTTTTCAATCTAATTAAAAACTAAGTCTTCAGGATAACAAAGGCATCAAAATGAGTCAAATGCTAACCTTTTTTTTCTCTATTATATAGTCTGCATGTAAATTCCCTGGATCAAAACTAAGAAGTATTTCTAAAGTCAACATGTGGAGTCTCAAAAGATAATAAAGCAATCAGTTTTAGATACTTACCATGTGCCAGACATCATATAAGGAACTGAAACATTTTCTTCCAAGTACTCTTATAGAGATTAATAATGGCTTCATCTTGGAAAGCAAGAATATTCAAGTTATAAGGAAATTGGCAGTGCATAAAGAGGACTTCCAAAACTCTGATGTAGATTGTTTTTTCTTAGAATGATCATCCTCTTTCTTATCAAATAAATTTTCTTAAAAAGTTATTTCAGCTAAACTTTGTATATTAACAGGAGTAACTGAATCAAGGATAAGAGAACAAGTGAAACCAGTTTACCACATTTGGAAAAGTTTGATTCCCATGACAGTCTGGGTTTAATGTAGGGACTGGTTATTCTAATTTTCATTGCATCCCTTGGTCCAAATGGGAGACTGAATTCTCACATTTGCAAGTCAACTGCTCTGAGAAGTTATCACAGATACAAACCAATAAAATATTCAACAACAGAAGGTCAGAAAAGGAGCAAAAGGAGATTATGTTTTGCTGTGGCATATAACAGCACTCCCTTTTATTCAGCCCAGCTGCTAATTTTTATATCAAGAAGGGGCTAGTGATTTTGGCCCTCACCCAAGTTTATTTAGGATCTTTTTAAATTAGGTTTGGGTCAGCTGCAGTGCCCATAACCAGGAATAGGTCTGGCTCCAATCATCACATCGTGCTCTTACTTCATTATGGGCCAAGAACTAAGGCAAGCAAATGGCTGCTGCTTTGTTTCACCAGCCCAAACATGTGGTTTTTTTTTTTTTGTTTTTTTTGTTTTTTTCCCAGATTTGAAGTATTGCATAGAGTAAAGGCATAAGGAAGACCAAACGACATGTAATGGCTTCGCTGTGATGAGATCAATCTACCCTACAACTTGACTGTGATCCCCAGCATGAATAAAGCTCTGTGTGTGAAAAATGAATGGGTAGCAATGTGAGGTCATGGAAAAAGATCTTGGCATAATTTGAATAAAAACTTTTCAACAGGCTGATGCAGCCAATCAGTCTATGAGTTTTTAAAAGGGCAAAATAATCTCTGCCAACAATACATGATTTCCCCTTAATGCGTCTATTTTGTAAATAATTGCAGTTGTCATGCAACTATTTTTATAGTGTCCATCCCAATTTTATATCATGTACACCAGTCTTTTAAAAAATATCACACATGTAAAGCTTCAATTAATCACAGCCACAAATTATAAGCACGTGTAACAAAATGGGTTTTCTTTCATTCATAAAAGTGTTCATATTTTAAAATGTAATTCAGTTCTCCCAAAAAGATTTTCAACAAAAAATATCCATGAAGAGTTCTTAACTCTAAAAAATTATCAAACAAAACTTCAAAGTATAGATTTTTATGAGATGTATTAATGAGACAATTCTAAGTGGGACCAATCAAAGTTAAAGATTTCCTATATAGGTGAGACTATAACTGCTATATGCAGTCAATGTTATAGGTACATAATATAGAAAAATGAAAATATTTTATTAAAGTGGGTCCATCTCTAGTAAGATAAAAAATAACACTTTTGAAAATTACACTGATTATGTGACTGAGCATTTGTTAATTATTAATATCAATTAATTATTTATTCATAGCAAAGTAGAGAGGGAATATGACCAGTACTGATAGTAGTCAACATAGCTCTCAATTGTGAACAGAAATAGAAAGACAGAGATTACCAGTTATTTGATGAAAAGCAGCAATACCAAAGTGGGTAGCCAAGGAGGAAAAAAATGAAAAAAATCTTAGTGACTGAAACAGACAATTCCTGGAAAAGATAACTTTTTAAAAGTTCTAATTATGATCTTTGTAGGTCAACCTGGTTGTATAAAGAAATCACATTCACTAAACAAGAACAGTCTGATATGTAAAGAAACCCAGAGTTCATAAAAATTACAAATACATAATATTAAACTGGTGAAAACAAATCAATAGAAAGCAACAAGAAAAAAATGTTTGAATCCCTCTCAGAATACAAAGCAAAGGCCAGAAAAAAATATAAAACATGAGAGAAAATGTAAAAAGACATAGAGAATATATACAGGAAAACCAATATCCATCTAACAAAAAGTTGAGGAAGAAAAAAACAGGAAAATTTGAAGGCAGGAAAAATATCAAAGGAATAATAGAAGAACGCTATCTCTCAGGCTGAAACAAAATGGAAGATGAAAATGGGCTAGTAAGCACTAAGCGAATGAATATAAAAAGATTTTTATCTAAACACACCTTCATAAAATTTTTGCTATCCCAAGGATAAAGGGAAGAACTTAAAATTGGTTTCAGCTAGGAAAAAAAAAAAAAACCCTCACCTAAAAAGGTA